AGTAACCCTGTCAAAGAAGAAAATTATGTTGGATTGGCATGATTTTTTTTTTTTTGACAAATCCGTGCTGGCTATTCCTTATAATCCTATTATCCTGCAACTTCTTACAAATTGGTCGTTTAATAGTTTGTTCCTGTATCTTTCCAGGTACTGAAGTTAGGCTGACTGATCTATAATTCTCTGCATCCTTTTTATTTCCTTTTTTAATGAAGGTACTATGTTTGCCCTTCTCCAGTCATCTGGGACTTCACCCATCCTCCATGGGTTCTTCAAGATAATTGCTAACAGTTCCAAATTGCTTCAGCTAGTTCTTTAAGTACCCTTTGATGAATTTCATCAAGACCAGCTGACTTGAATATATCTAACTTATCTAAATAGTCTTTCATCTGTTCTTTCCCTATTTTGGCTTGCATTCTTTCCTCCTCGTTAAAATTAATTATGTGGCATATCTGGTCACCATTAACTTTTGTAGTGAAACTGAAGCAAAATAGGCATTAAACATCTCAGTTTTCTTGATATCATCAGTTATTAGCTCTCCTTCCCTGCTAAGTAAAGGACCTACACTTTCTTTTATCTTTCTCTTGCTCCTAATGTATTTAAAGAACCTCTTATTGTCTTTTATGTCCTTGCTAGGCATAACTCATTTTGTGCCTTATGGCTTGTCTACACTGGCACTTTACAGCGCTGCAACTTTCTCGCTCAGGGTTGTGAAAGAACACCCTCCTGAGCACTGCAAGTTTCAGTGCTGTAAAGTGCCAGTGTAGACAATGCACCAGCACTGGGAGCTACTCCCCTCGTGGAGGTGGGTTTTTATAGCGCTGGTGCCGCGACTACACAGCCATGTTAAAGTGCTGCCGCGGCAGCTCTTTAACGTTGCTAGTGAAGACATACCCTTAGCTTTTCTGATTTTGTTCCTACATGCTTGTGCTATTCTTTTGTACTCCTTAGCAATTTGTCCACATTTTTACTTCTTGTAGGATTGCTTTTTTTTATTTTCAGGTCATTAAAGATCTCATGATGGAGCCAGATTGGCCAATATACATTATCACTGAGATTTTCAAACCATCCTAAGGGAATCAAATGCCCCAGCTCCCATTGGAACTGAATTTCAGTGGGAGTTGGATACTTAAATTCCAGCCTAAATAATAATAAAAATAATAATAATAGTAGTAATTAATAATTAATAAACTAATTTCACACAGGCCTCTTAACAGCTGTTGAATGATAATGGCTTTTAGTCAGCTGTAACACTGACTTGGAATGTGACTTTGGGCAAATTCCTTTATTTCCTTGTGCCTCAGTTTCCTGATCTTTAAATGGGGATATTAATACTTACTGAATTCATAGGTGAGTTGTGAGCATTGATTCATTAATGTTTGAAAAGCGTTTTGAGCTCCTCAGGTGGAAAATGCCAAATTAATATCATTATTATTTCATTCCAGTTTATTGAAATGCATACCAAATGGCTGAAAAACACTCTCTCCGATTCATTTCAGTGCATACCCTCTTTATGTGATAGGTGCTCTATTCCTTGAAGTATGCACATGTAGCCAGGGTGAGTAACATGCACAACTGCTGTGGGGCCCAGGGCTGCTGAGCAGTGAACTGCCTTTGTAGTAGTAATGTAATAATGTTGCAGAATCAGTAGAGAAGAAAATGAGCCTCTCCTACTTCTTGTTACTATTTATTATTTCCATAGTGCTGTAAAGTGCTTTACAGGCCAATATTTTCAAAAAAGACTAGTGATTTGGGGTGTCTGAGTTTTTGGGTGCCCAGCTGGAGATATCTTGCAGGAGATGAATGATTATCAGAAATTACTGAGTACCCAGGCACTGAAAGTTCAGCTCCTTTTCAAGTTAAGCACCCAAAAATTGAGGCACCCCACATCACTGGTCACTTTTGAAAATCTGGGTTAAATATAAGAAGACAAGATTCATGCTGTGCCAACCATAGAATCTAAGGCCCAGATGATTCAAACACTTATGCAATTATACTTCTGTGAACTATTCACAGTAGTAAAATTAAACATGTAAATTAGAGGCATAAGGGCATGATCCTGCAAAACTATATTCATGTAAATAATTTTATGCACATAAGTAGTTTAATTGAACTAAATAAGACTTCTTTTCTGAGTAAAGTTATTCCCTTGAGTAAGGGTTTGTAGGATGGTGCTGGAAGTGTACAGACAGAGGAATGGAGATAGGAAAGTAACAAAAGATATACACATTGCATTATTTGAGTTGGCGGGCACTGTGTAGTTTCAGAGGGGATTGTCTGTCTTTTATATTTATTTGTATTTTTAAACGTATCTTGTGGTTGGGAAAAAACATTTATTTGTTAGTTAGGGTTATAAAATCCTATGGGTACCTATCTTACACTGTAGACACCCCTTATAATTATTTAAAAGTGAAATAAACATGAACAAAAGAAAATTAGCAAAGTATAACAAAGAAACCCCAAACCTCAAATAAACAGTAAAGCACAGATAAAATAAAAAAAGCAACATTACCCCTAATTAGTGGTGTTTTTCCATATACAAAGAGCAATCATATTATTTCAGGTTAACTAAATAAGAAAACACAAATGTAAGGACTCCATGAGAGAGCACAGTGTTTGTGTCTGCTCTGTAACATGCTGCATCTGCTCCACTTCACAAAATGGAAGCTGCTTTCTGCAGAGACTAGACTCCTAGATATTAAATAGGCAGAACACAGAAAACATAGTAATAATAGTGACCCAACTGCTTGTGCCACAGTTTAGTAGTGAACCTCAGGCTGAAATAAGTGAATTTTTAGGAGGGACTCAAAGGAGGAGAGTGAGGTGGCATTTGGTATAGGGGAAGAAGGAGGCTGTTTCAAGAACAGGTGTGGAGATTTGAATGGTAGAGCATAGAGTTCCTCCACAGATGATCGAGGCCTCACACAGCTTTATTCTCCATTTCCTGTAGCTTTTTGAAATATCATTTAAGGCACAATATTAGAGAATTGATTTTAATTTGGGGGCCCAGAGAGGTGTGGGGATAATATAGTTTTACTACATATATTTTTATTTATTTTCTTTTGCTAACCTTATAACCAGGATAACAGGAAACAGCTCCATCTCAGTAACATAATATAGTATTTAAAAAATATGGGTGAAATGGCAAAACTCTCATTGACTTCCATGGAGTCAAGATTTCACCCCCAGATTTACGCCTAACAGGGAAGTGTGTGGGAGAGAACTGAGATTTAAGGTTTAAAGCTCCATCTAGTGGCCAAAGAGAGAATGACGTACAGATAATAAAGTCCAATGCACATGATTTGTATATTGCCTGACAGGTGGCACTTAATTATATGGACCATACGTAGGTCAAAAACTGGCTTCCTGTCCCGCACAAGCACTCCCCATGAAAGGTTGCATATTCAGAACATTTCCAATACAAAGAATGGGAACTGAGCCCCTTGTTCAGCAGCTACCAGCTACAATGCTGCTGAGTATTCCTCAGTGACTCATCCTGCTTCTACTTGATTGGGAGTGAGTGTGAAATGAATTACTTGCATGCTTGACGTTATCAATTGTGAAGGCTATTGTTATGTCTCAGATAATCTATGGCCGCAACGTACTTTTGGGGAAAGCAGGTGGAGAGTGCTTCCACTTCTTTGTTAGTATTTCTCCTCTGGGGGGAAACATTACAGGGTGTTTTCTTCTTCTGTTGGTTCGGTTTGCTTTGGCTTCCTTTTGCTGTATGGATGGAATCCAGAGCTGGGCCACCCACAAATTGGCATAATAACGGTTACATTAATATTATTTCCCTGATCTGCAGCACCTCACTCCTGGTCAAATGTAACAGGAGGTGGGAAGATTAGCTGGTAACTTCAGGTGATCCTGTCTGGGCGGCTGATGAGCTGTGGAATTGACCCTTGCTTTGCAGATTTATTATTATTATTATTCATCTCGATTCCGGATGTTTTGTATACTCTTCCATCTGCACCTGCCTCTGGAACAAAGGGTGAGTAATTATAAAAGTGGGTGCTAACCGAGATAACGTAAGGTCACATCCTCCTCAGTCTCTTCTCTGGCGTAATGTTCACCAGGGAAACTGGAAAAAGGTTATCTTTCACCTACTCTGCAGTCTCTCCTGGTACTGACTAGGGAGATCTGGGGAAGTGGTTTATGAAGGCGGAAAGGTGTTGTCGTAGTGTCAGAAACTAAGGGGAGCTGTCTTAACATTTAATGTTTTGCTTAGTATTAATACCTTTAATACTGCATCTTTAATACTAAAAAAAACATTTTTAAGGACATTAACTTTCTTTTTGAAAGGAAAATACAGGGGGAAGTGGGCATTAGATCCCTTCCAAACAGCTGATTGACTTTAACAAAGAATTTGAGCTTTCATGGGTAAATTAGGGCATTGTGATCTTTAATCAAATCGTTCTTGTCATGTATCTGACTTTTGCCTTTGGCCACAAAAGATGTCCCTAGGGTTACCTTCATTTATGATTGATTGATTTTGATTTATACACAATCACATCTGTCCTCCTCCCCCCAGCTCTTAAACGTGGGCTCTGTGTGTGCAAGAGAACATTTCAGACTCTGAAGTTGTCCCGCACAGACTGAAAACCTTCTTTCTTGTTTTCCCACTTTAGCTTCAGTACTTGCATTGTCAGCGCCGATCCCATGTTGCATAGGTTTGCACCGGTATGTAAGCCTCATACAGTATGTGTTTACACCCGACTGCACATTTCTGCCTTGCTAGGCATAAGAAATGCTAGATTCCAAATAAGAGAAAGATTCCTGGATAAAGCTTTTAGGGAAGGGGGGGGAGGGAAACAACACCCTAGGGTGTCCCCTGTGAAATGATGTCATCCAATCAATACTTGGGGGGCGGGGGAGTTGTGACTGTTCTGACTAACTCCTTCTATGAAATAGTCTCTATATTGGAATTGGAATTAGCCGTATCGATTGGGCTGATAACAGAGACCTATAAAAAGGCAGGGGGATTGGCTTTGCATTTACTACATCCCCGAAGCATTTAGCTCAAAAAGCACCAAGCCACTGCCTTTTCTTTAGTGGCACTTGCGCCTCTGTATGCGTGTGGGGTGTGTGCGTGGAGTCCTCTTGCAATTGAAATAACCTGGAAAAGATGTGGAGTAGCCTGTGCAAACCTTGCACGTCCCTGGCTCTGCTTGGACTCTGTTTTGCAATGGTCGTCAGATCTCTGCCTTTCTCTGATGCAGGGCCACATGTGAACTATGGCTGGGGGGAACCTATTAGATTAAGGCACCTATACACAGCCAGCAAACATGGTCTGTTCAGTTACTTCCTGAGGATCAACAGTGATGGCAAAGTGGATGGCACCAGCATTCAGAGTCCCCACAGTAAGTATAAGGGAAAGCTGCCGTCTTACTTATTAACAGGATCTCGGCTAAAGGAATGGAGCCCCACGCCCTGGATTCCCTTAGTGAGTTTATGAGGCTGCATTCTCCCATAGCCCTGGAAATAGGAAAGCGTGCGCTTGGGTACCTGACAGTAAGGGTTCTTTTGTGAAGGGAGCAGGACGAGTTTTACCTCCGATTACCCGTGAAATTTAGCCCTGAGAGGCGGTGGGGTGAGGGTGTGTGTGGCTTGGAGACGGCGATCCTCTCCCCCCTCATCTGAACGCTGTTTTGGTTTTGCTGCATAGGTCTGCTGGAAATCAGGGCTGTGGCAGTTCGCACGGTGGCGATCAAGGGCGTCCACAGTTCCCGGTACCTCTGCATGGAAGAAGACGGGAAGCTGCATGGACTTGTAAGTTACAGGAGAGGGAGACTGAGCTGGAGGGGGGGGCACTGAATCGGCATGGGAAAGTCCATAGCAAATGGGGTAATGGTTGCACGCGCTCGCAGGGCTTGTTATGATTTTATCTGGAAGCGTCCAGATAAAACAACTTAAGCCGATCACTTAAGCTGCTCCACCACCAAGCAGCTCATTAAGGGTCTGACTTCCGCGAAGGAGCAAGGAAATCAAAATGTATAACGAGGCAGTTTATGAATGTGACACTGGGCAATAACACAAATAACACTGGGCAACATAAATAGATAAATAGGGTGCGTTTACTGCAAGCTTTCCTTTTAATAGGTCTCAGAGCCTCCTAAACTAAAATGATGTGTAAGATTAAATAGTTGAGTTCTTTTACTATAGAGAGTTGATAAAATGTAGACAGAACTATGAGCTGTTTACTTGTTGTCATTACTCTCTAATTACTTTTTGTTCCTATTAGTGTCTAATGAAACTGTAATGTTTATTAGTAGAAATTTAAGTTTAGCGTCAAATGAGAAAGAAACTTCCCAAAATTTCTAATGCAAATAAAAATAAGGAGGACAATCGACCATTTTCGTTCTTTATTGCATTTTCCCTCTTATAATTTTCTATCCACTTTTAGTTAAAATAGAACAGAGGACCCAATAATGCCTATTTGATATGTGGCTATTTATCTGCAATCAAATGAAAACATATTCATTACATTGGGATGTAAATGATACAGGCATATTTGTAATTATCTTCTTACTGTTCAGCTTAGGTATTCTGCAGAAGATTGCTCCTTCGAAGAGGGGATACGCCCAGATGGCTACCATATGTATAGATCAAAGAAATATGGGGTTGCTATCTCTTTAAGTCATGTCAAACAGAAACAAGAATTCAAAAGAAAGGACTCTCTCCCACTGTCTCACTTCTTACTTGTGATCAACAGTGCACCTGTAGGGTTATGGGAGCCTGAGGATTATAGCGATTCTCTGACATGGTGTTGTTAACTCATGCCTTTTTGCCTAGGTATTTCAGCATATCAGCTAGATACGTCAGAAATACAGTCCTGCTCTTGTGAGACCCCTGCAATACCTACTCAGAGGCATGAGTTAATGAGAAAGGTCCAAATTCATTGCCATGTAACTCCATTGTAGCTACCTGAGTCGCATAGGTGGAAGGTGCATTTCCCCCAGAATGCAAATGTAAGGCTTGAACCTACTTTCCTTAGCAAAACTCCTGCTGATTTCAACAGGAGAAGAAGTGGGCCCAATGGCAAAACATCCATGAGCTTTAACGAGAAAAGGATCAGGCCGAATAGGATTTTTACTTGAGTATCTAGGGCAGAATTTGCCTTTCAAGCCTGAATTTCCTTGCTTTTATTGTCTAAAGTCAGACCTTCAATAAACTGAAAAGGTGAGGGAGGTGATCTGGTTTTGGGCGCCAAGCACCATGTATGGAAAGTGTCAATTTGAAGTTTTTATTGCATGTCCAAACTGAAATACTCAGTGACTGATAACTATAGATAGGATCCTCCTTCCACTGAAGACAGTGGGAGATTTCCCATTGATTTCCCTGGGAGCAGATGCAGGCGCTTTGTAGTTGCACTGTGCATTATTGTAATAATCTTTGAGAAAAAAATGAACAGCCCTTAATTTACTGTTTATTGAATGACTGTTTATTGAACTATAGCAATACTTCATTATATTAATTAATATTCTGAATAGTTACATGTTTGACAGTTATTAGAATACAGCCATGCAAACTCCTGTATATGTACTGGGCCAAATCCTGTATGTCTTACTCTAATGAGAAGTCCCATTAACTTCAGTAATAATACTCACACAAGTAAGGTGAGCAGAATTTGGCCCACAGAGAAAATTTGTCTTCCGAGATGCAATATCCTTTCCCTGTTTCCACTCTGCTCCAGATGCCTTGTGTGTGTGTGTGTGTGTGTGTGTGTGTGTGTGTGTATTGAGGGATGGAAGAGGAAGTCATTTACCTACTGGCCTATGCCAACAGCAAATTATGGACTCCCACACTGGCTAAAATGTGCTGGCCACTCCTAACCCACCTGCTCCGGAGTGACGCAGGGAAGCAATTGATGCATAATGTCTTCTGACTCCTCTGCACCTAGACCCACCATGCTAGTAGCCTGTGCAGGGCCCAGTGGGAAATTTGTACTCTTCCCCTTACTCATTTTGGTTAGTACCTTACTCTGAAGGTAATTCCATTGAAATGAATGGGGAAATGTACTACTCAGCATGAGTTGGGAGGTGGTGTGCTGGGATGGATTGGGAGGTACAGAAGCAGGATCTACTGTGAGTTACAAGATGATACCTTTACTCAGACATTGACTAGTACCTTACTCCATGAGTAGTTCAATTAACTTCCATGAGACTACTTGTGTGAATAATTTGGCCACCTGTGGAAGTAAAGTGTTCACAATCTGGTCCTGATATACATTCATTCAAAATGTATGATGTCCAGCTTGATTGGGGAAGGGATAGCTCAGTGGTTTGAGCATTGGCCTGCTAAATCCAGCGTTGAGAGCTCAATCCTTGAGGGGGTCATTTAGGGATCTGGGGCAAAATCTGTCAGGGACAGTACTTGGTCCTGCTGTGAAGGCAGGGGACTGGACTCAATGACCTTTTAAGGTCCCTTCCAGTTCTATGAGATAGAATATATGGAGATAAATATTGCAAGTCTTAATCTGTGAGAAAAATAAATTTTTTTGCTTTATTCCTTCAACATTAAAAGTACTTTTAAAAGGTAACCATAGCACACACAACAGTCTATTCTACATTGTTGATGGTATTTGACAAAGCTTGATTTTTTTTTACAACTAAAAAAAAAAGTCAAATGTGCTCTGGGTTATATTTTGACAGGTAGAGAGTTCATTCGGGAACACTGCTTTTTTTTATCATCAAAGACCTAGACATAACCAGCAATTCTCCTGTATTGGCCCAGAGTTCAGTCACCTCAAATGACTGAGCCAGAAATAACACCAGAGTTGTAAGGAAAATAGTGATTACTTAAAGGATCTGGAAAAGTCTGAGATAACACAAAATCTCAACATACCATATCTACATTATAAACTATGTCTAAGATGAATTCTACAAATTGCTAGGCAGGTTATAAAATATATTATCCTATATAGAATCTTTATTGGTGTCACAGTAGAACTGTTTGATAAATTTAATGCCTAATGAGAAAGAGATACTGTACTAATACATTTTTAGACATTTTAATAAAATGACAAGAAAAAACTTGCAGTTTGCCCATTTTATTGTTGTTTTTAATCATTAATTTTCTTTATTTTAACACAGTCTATTATAAAAATGCCTTTCTGCAGACCTGATCCTTGCAGCCCTTACACAGGCAAATCTCCCATGGGATTCAAATTGAGTTTTGTATGCATTAGGACTGCTGGATTGGGCCCTTAGCTATCGTGGTTGTAATTAAAACGTCAGCATTCATCATAATTTATAAAACTGAGGTATCTACCAGAGATTATCAAAGTTTTCCCCTAAAATCAAAATAGGGCCGTCTGTAGCAGCTGTGTGGTAATAGATGGAATAAAGATCATTGAGGATAAAGGAAAGACTCCCAGTGATTTCAAAGGAGTGTGGATCAGGCCTATGTTGACTTTTAATGTCCCCATAGATTGTTATGAATTCTGTGTATAATACAGAGGGCTTGAATCTCTCTCACATCAAGGAGAGTAGGGTCAAGCACATACAAGCTTTATATCATATCTGATAAGTGTCATAGACATATCTGTAATTGTCTTCACTCCTTACTGTTCAGCTCAGGTATTCTACAGAAGATTGCTCCTTTGAAGAGGAGATACGCCCAGACGGCTACAATGTATATAAATCAAAGAAATATGGAGTCTCTGTGTCTTTAAGTAGTGCCAAACAAAGACAACAATTCAAAGGGAAAGACTTTCTTCCATTGTCTCACTTCTTACCTATGATCAACACCGTGCCTGTAGAGTCAATGGATTTTGTGGAATATGGTGATTATAGTCATACTTTTGAATCAGATCTATTCTCTTCACCTCTTGAAACTGACAGCATGGACCCCTTTGGAATCACCTCTAAAATATCTCCAGTGAAGAGCCCCAGCTTTCAGAAATAACTAATGCTCCTGACTTTAAATATGGTTTTAAAGAAACATTACCAGAACCAGGATATTATTTAGCTTTTCCAGTAGTAATATGTAGAATATGTAAACATTTAAGGTATGGTGCTAGCATTGTTCTTGCAATGTACTAAACTTGTAAAATAGTAGCACCATTCTAAGGCTACATTCTAAGAACCAGCTATTCATTTTTTCATATCACATTTAGAAAAAAATAATCTAAACAACTGCTTAACTGGTTCACCTCTGACAAAAATACACAACATGCGGAAATTCCTTCCATCTGGTGATGGCTGGGGTGATAAGATCACTAACATTTTTCACCACCCCTTTATTATTACTTATGCTCACCTCGGATTCCTGCTGATACGAGCAAATGCAGCAAAAGCTTTTCATTCACAGGGAGGTTAATGACCTCTTCACTTCATAGCCTTTCAAAGACAAACATTTGTAATAAAACATGATTACAAAACCTAACAAACATTACCCTGTGAACTAGGGTTCAATCTATCTCTTAAAAAACTGCTGCTGATGTTCTGGGACAACTTTCCATTTTAAACATTGCATTGAGAAACAATTCTGCTTGTATATTATGCATTTTCTTCCCTTCTTTGATTATTGCTAAGGGCTCACACTGGAAAACCAGATCATTGATTCTTTATGGGCTCACGTATGTTTGCTGATGAATTCTTTGGGACCTGTATTATACTTGGTCTGAGGTAGAATTCTCATTAATATTAGTGGGAATTCTATGTATGGATTGAGGATTGTACAGAATCCATAATTATGTTCATCAGGTAGGGAACAAGCAGTAGAAACAGATTAACTTTCAGGTCATAACAGTCCTGTTATATGTAAATATCCATAGCAATTAAAAGAAAAGACAGAAAATAAATGTTGTATAGGTCAAATTGCTTCCAAATATGTTTTTATATTTTTCCTTTAAAGTATCAGCAGTTCTTTCGAGACCATATAGGCCTGATCCTGCACTCGTTGACTTCAATGTTGCAGAACTGGGCAAATACTGCCTTTGATATGTGGTGGAGTGATTCTCGGTAGTTTATGGCCCATAATGTATATATGATGCTTTCAGTCCTGTTCTCCTATGCTAGCATTCTAGCAAGAGAATAACAACAAAAGGAATGTGAGACAAGGGGTCCAGGAAAATTACCCATTTCCAAAGTTTCATTTATAATAGGTATTTCTATACAGAAAACTGTACTGGAAATGTTAGTATTTTCTTGACCTAGCACTTCATTACCAATGCAATATTTATAATTAATTTATTGAATACATACATCTGTTTATTTTGTTACTGTTATTTATACTTAAATTTCTATTTATGTACTCATGAAGGTTTTTTTAGTTTTAACAAATTTTGTGAAGTTTTGTAATCATGAAATCGTAAGGAAAATATAACTTTTTTTAAAATTTTCTGTGATGTCAGTAATTTAGTGTGTAAATTTGTAATTAAAAAAATCATCTCCAACATAAAATCTAACTGACTCTGTTTCAATAATTATGCGGCACCTTTTACTCAAAGACTTCAAAGAGCTTTATAAACATTATTGGATTAAGTTTCACCTTGTAAGATAGGTAAGTATTATTATCCCCATTTTGTAGATGAAGAAACTGAGACACAGAGAAACAAAGCAACTTGGCCAAACTCATGCAGTGAGTGACAGAGCTAGAAATGGAATCTGTACAGGCAGGATTAGAGTGCTGCTTTCAGGATGTCAACAATGTCTCTGTTGCAAATTAAATGTAATCTGATTAACACAGTTTACAGAAGCAAGGCAGGCCAGATACAATTCTAAAACAAGGAGGGGAGATTCTGTACTTGTGGAAAAAGTCCAGGAGACTGTTTACGAAGTGGCTGACCCTGAGATATATTGAGCTCTCTCCATCCCCTTAATTCCCATTGATTTCAGTGAGTCAGGCCCCAAGTTCTGGTTCTCTGGCATAACATCTTACTGAAGCTCCAATTTAAACTCTGTATCTCCTTTTATGAGGAAAAGAAAGAAAAATGCCCATGAGCATGGATTCAGGGGCATTTTATAAAGCTCTGCCTGCTTTAATTTTGCAGTAGTGTCCTTAAATCCTTTCTAAACTGTTGAAAAGTGTGCAGTGGCTTTCCATAAATAATTTAGGGACTTGTATACACTGATAATTTGCCTTTCTTCCAGCAGCCACATACTGGAGCAGTTGCCCTGCTGGAAATCCTTATTGTAGACTGGCAAAGCTGGTATAAGCTGTGATTTGAACCACTTGGTTTCAAGCAGGGGTAAACTGCACAGGTGCAAATAGCAGGTATGCACAAAGGAGTTGCACAGATGCAGCTACTTTGGTTTCTGGCCACTGATGGCTGTAGTTTGGCAAAACTCCTAGCATGGACAAAGGGTATTCTAGTCTGTGTGCACTATAGCATCTGTACCCTTAAAACAGACATGAAATGACAGTGAATAAAATGTATGTAGTGATTTTCATCCAAAGACCCCCCAAACCATTCTACAAACTTTATAAATGGATTTATGTACTAACATATAAAGATCACTTCATCCACCTGTGAAATGCAGACACCTCTAGGAAGGAGTGTTCTGCCTTTTATAGAAAAACCACAACACTACCCAACAATAGAGCGAGGTAGAAAATGGGTTATTTTTCTGGAGAAAATTGTAACTTTCCAGCAAGAAATTAAAAACGGAACATTTCAATTTGGAAAAGCTCCCACAGTAGCTCATGGGAATTGACGTTCAGGTTCCTCAGGTCCCCACTCTCCTCTATTAACTGAGTTTCTGGGGTAGACTACAACTCCATGGTGCCCCATGGTCTCCTCTCCTCCTGTGAGTCGCCTGGCCATAGTGCATCATGGGAGATATTATCCAGTTTTTCATGTTTAATTTAGCACAAAACTTTTTGGGGTTTGAGTGTTCAGTTTCTCAACAAAAAATCAACATTTTCTGTGAAAAGCAGATACTTCACAAAAAAATTGTTTAGTCAAAAACCCAATTTTTCATTTAAAAAAAAATGTTGATGGAAAATTTTTGACCAGCCCTACAAAACAGTTTAGGAGAGATGTTACAGCTACTAGAAAGCTGACCTTAATTGTCAAGAAATATACTGTGAATAAAAGGCGGTCTGATTAGGACCGTAACTTTGAGAATAAATGTGTGGGTGATGGGATCAGATAGGTCAACTCTTGGCTGCCAGAACTGAGAATATAAACAACACTTGAGATCTGACTGAATTGGATACATTATCTAATTAAAACTACACATGGAATTTCAGGTAGACAGAATGTAACTACTCACTTAGTATTTTGCTAGAGCACAGGGGTTAACATCCTTACATTTGTGAAAAGGATTCTGAGATCTTACTGACTCTATGTGCTGACAGTTTTGGTTTTACATCTCACACCAGCAGTACATCTCTTATTGTAACAGCATGGTCAGTCATAGAGAAGAATGCCAGAAACTGAATCACCAACACCACTTTCTGTAGCACTTAATTTTTCGTTGGAGGTTTCCCATCAAAGCATTGACTAGGCCTGACTGCTTCACTTATGAGATATGACAATAAAACAGCCTCAGATGTAATGATGATAGGGAAATGTTTTTCTTACTATTAGACACCTGACTAGGTTAGGAACTTGGTATGCAAAACATTTAAACAGTATTGTCTTGCGTTGATGGTGGGAATATACACAACACAACCATCATGAATTGCACTGTATAAGCCAAAGGCTGACTATAGTTTGCTAAATATGGTAAAATGTTTGCATTCTCTTTAGATTTATAATTACATTTTACATCCCTAAAATATTTTAAAGGGTTGGTGTCCGATGTTTGAGTGTGAAATCCCAGTTAGAAGCTACAATCGTACAAACTATGAGTAAACTGTTGAAAGGGAGAGACAGTGGACATTTCTGTCTGATGTCTTTGCAGAGCATGAAGGATGAACAATGCCTTTAAAGCAAATACCATAATATTAGAGTGATGGATGTTTGAGATAACAGTACCAAGACCACATATTTGCAGTCTTTTGAGAGACTGTATACTTTACCACAAGTGTTCTGTGCATCTAGGAAGAAGGCATGGTGGGAAGGTCTAAATCCATTTTTTCATCAAAAATGCTTTCACTTTGGGCAAATTGAGGCCTAATGAAAACAAATGCACCTCCCTTTGAAGTCAATGAGAGTCCAAAGTCAATAGGAGATGCACTTGTTTGCATCAGGGATAAATTTAATCCATTGTGTAGTTTTTTTTTCATAAATCCCATCAGATTGGGACCTCTTCCTTAAGATAAGGAATAGAGTGCTAAAGCCAAAAATATTGCTAATATTTTGTAGTCTTGAACTGTGGAGAAACTATTCAGTAATTCTGATGTACAGGACCAATCTAACCACCCTGGAGATCAGAGGAAATTTTGTCATTTACTTCCAGGGGAGAAGAACCAAGCCAAAAGACTAGATTTATTTGAATTAATTACATAGGTTGAGATTTTCAAAGGTGCCTAAGGTTTCTGGACATCAAATTCCCATTTGGGAACTGAGCACCCAAATTCCTTAAGCAGCTTTGAAAATCTCAGCTATTTATTTATTTAAGACAACCACAAATAAAGCTGAGACACTTGGTATCTTTCAGAGAGTCACTCAGAAATGCTTTATTATACACTCCCCCCCCCAAACCCCCCACCAAACATTCCAGCATTAGATGCAGAAGAATCTTGTAAAATTAAAATACTGTAGAAGTATAATTTTTGATTGGAGCTTCTGAGAATTACCACAATATTTCCAGTCAGAAAATATTTGTAAGTCTTATAAAATTTCATAAGACAGTAAGATGTTGCTGATTTACCTATGACAAGACTATTGATGGACATTTATGCAAACTGTTTTATTCCATTATATTGATTTTGACTATCAGGTGACTGTGCTGATATTCTTAAAACTGTACAAATGTTTCAAATTTCTTTTGTTCACATAAATCTAAGAAATATCTTAGATTTCTATGGATCTGCATAGATACTTTTGAATGTGCTATTAGCTTCTTTAGGATTAGTCAAGATTTTCCA